CCCCCCCCCCCCCCCCCCCCGCTTTGAGAATCACGCCCGCGAGCGCCCCTGCACCGATACTGAGCAGGGTGAAGCCAAGGACCCCCTCCCAAACATCCCAGAGGTCCCTGACCAGACACAGCGAGGCGAGTGCAAAGGTACTCTTGCTCTTTCACATTCAAAAGGCCTCTCTTCTGCTGGCTCGACCGGCCCAGGCCCTCGGACAAGTGCTCAAGAGGGGCCGCGCACTGCACATTTCATTTCGGCCTGGGCCACCTTGGAACATCTGGTTCAACTGGTTTAACATCTCCTCCGCAAATAGGCGACTGAGGTAGGAAGTGGTCACTCACCAGGAGTAGCTTCTTAACACAGATTGGTTTCTGATTCAGTCCTTCCATACCCTTCAAAAAACAATGGGATGATCTAAGCCTGCATGACATAGCAGAGACGCGCCCACTAATATTCTGAGACTTTAGCTAAAGTGCACAACATATGTTCTTAGCGTTTGTTCTCTTCGATGTGTTCTGACAAAGGCTTGGGCTTCACAAGGCTACTCTTCACCACTGACAGAGACATTGGACTGTTCAGGGCACCGCTTGCTGTCCTCCAAGTCCGCGAAATTGTTGGCATCCATGTGGTCCTAAACAGTTTGGGGCAGAGGTCAGGTCTTGCATAGAGTTCCTTGGTCTGTGACACCGCGGCCTCGTCGGGCCCGTCGGCATCACGAGCAAAAGCAGAGTCCTGTTCACCCTAACATGTCTTGCGAAAAGATTGTATGCCTCATCCTGCCGTATTCTGCACTCCTGCTCTGATCGGCCAATGGCCTACAAAAGGCCTTCGCAAGATCGGCTAGCTGCGATTGACTATGCTTGCCATGTTCAGTCTACTATTTGGCATGTCATCTGGTTCTGTATGCCTCTGGAGTCCTGGATGCCGAAGCTGTCGTAAAGCTTCCGGCGCGTTGGATCCGCCAAAAGCTCGTGTGCCTGTTGATCACTGCCGCGATGTGGCGCAAGCTAGAGAAGGCTGAAGTGAACTCCACAAAAGCCCACCTCAGCAAGCTGCTTGAAGCTCTCCTGCGATGAAGCTCTGTGTGCACAGGCACGCGCACTGCGACCTCTGACGGAGTGAGAAAAACGAGGATCCGTCGGCCTCGGCGGCCTCTTTCTCGGCATCGGGCACCTGGCCAGTGATCCGCTGTGCGAAGCGGCCCCCGGGCCCGCCGCCCCGCCATGCCCCGCCTTGTCTGGATGATGAACTCGAGCCTCTCACGACACTTCCCCGCGTCTGCTCGTTTGTTATGACAGCCCGACAGATCAAGCCTTCTGCCGCCATGCACGCTCAATGGTTCGCGGAGATGCGTCCTGCGAGATTGCGAGAGTGTCTTTAGATTTGATGAAGTTTCCTTTAGTCGCCTGACTCCTCTCCTGCTTTCTGCACACCAAACCCTAGATGTCTGGATACATGATCTGCAAGGGGACATGTTAGTCCCTGGAGACGCCAAGGATGGTGTAGGGGCACGTAGAACTGCCAAGATGTTGGCAAGCAACATCAATCAAGGCAGCCACGACTTCGTTACTGGCCTGGACGAGCTGCCATTTGCCATGCCCAATGCTAGGAACGGACAAACCTATGCCCTACTTTGCGCGTTGCTAGTCTGCTGTTGCAGATTCACAAGGGTGAGCGTACTGTGAGAATCCACAGTTCGGAGTACTGCTATCTACCTGGCACGTAGATAGTTGACGTGCTTGGCGGCTTGGCACTTAAGCTGCCTTTGGCTTAAACATCACATTGCAATGGCCCTCAGATTGACGAGCATCAGCTGCGACACTGCTGTGCCAACGAGCATGTGGCATCCCATTGCCATGGCGAGATTTGCCGGATTGGGCTGCATTGATCCGAGTCCAGCTAAAGCAACCAAAGCAGCCCTTTGCCTGTACAGGGCACATGCATGGTAGTGCTGGGCAATCTGCAAGACATGAACTCCAGAAACTGGAGTGGTAGTCTACTGGCCGGAGCTTCTCACATCTCGGCGGAGCATGAACAAGACTTTCTGCACATATGCCTCGAGCCATGAACTGTAAGGCATGCCGGCAATCCACTCCTGACAGGGCATGGGCTCTGAGAGGGCACCTGCAAATTATTAATTGAAACCGCCCCTAAAGCCCACTCCCTCGCAGCAAGAAATCTTCCCCGAGCCCTTGTCCGCGGGAAGTTGGCTGAAACCCAGGCGACACCCAAGGAGCGCACCAGCGACGGCTCCATTGGTGTCTGCATCTCCACCGGCCAAGACCAACTCGTTCAGGACTTTGCGAAAAAGCTGGCCTGAAGTGCCTGAAGTGCCCTGGGCACCCACGGACTGCTTCAAGGCCCATAGACCAGCACCAAGACATTTGAACGTGAAGCCGATTGTCTTCCGATCGTCCAAGGCCAGATCTTTCAACTCTTTGGCCTCCGCATGCCGCCGCAGTTCCTGCCTCTCCATGTCGCCAAGGCTGCCCTGTGCTTTTTCCAGCGCCGGTTGCACTACCGACTCTACGATGTCCGAGGAGTCCTCTCCGCGCAGAAGTCGACTCACACAGAGAGCAACTGCAACGCAGCTGGCCACACATCTCGGTTCTGCATGAGTTGTGAGGCAAAGCGTCTCTGCGGCTGCCGCCACGGTGTCTTCACACCAGAAATGTGGGATGCCCGCAACTGCGGTCCTCACAAAAGCTGAAGGATTTTTGTGACACTTAACGACAGCACCAAGTCCCAAAGAACCGGCACACGCTCAGCTCTAGGTGGCAAACTGTGCAGTCTACGTGTATCCTACGGCTCAGAGGAGCTCAGGAGGATAGTAGTGACCAAGAAAAGTGACACGTATCAACAAAGCTCCTCATGACGCCTCCGTTAGAAGGAATGCCTGCAGAGTGCGCTGCCGCCGCAGTGTGCGGGGATGCAGCAAAGCTGGGGTCATTCAGAACCGCCTTCGTGGTTTGTCCCAGACCTGCAGCCGATTGATCTCCTAGCTCTGGAAAGCCCGAGGTCCGCCAGGACAACAGGCGCATGGCAAAGTCGCAGGGATCCGCATGGCCACCAGAATGCAAGAGCGACTGCATCATCAGCACCTGCTGGTCGGTGTCGTCGGTCCAATCCCCTGCACACCACATCATTCGGTGTTCATCTGGGAACACAGCCCGTCCAGGGCGAAAGTCTGCGTGTTCTCCATAGAACTCTTTTGATTCCGCTGCAGACAGAAACTCCGTTGCCAGCCCGGCAGCATCTCCCAGAGCTGCACCGAACAGAGTCCCTCGCACTCGGTCTGCCAGCACCTGCATCAAACTCAAGATGTCGGCGCGAAGCTGTGCTAAGACTATGCTACATGTTTGAAAGGATACGGGTGCCGCAGGTTTCCGACTAGCAAGCACGATTGATTTCCATTTCTGGCCGTTGTGCCTCTCGGCTGAGGCGCGTGGCATCTAGAGGTGGCTCCTGCCACATCGGGAAGCGCAAGGCTTCGATGTCGGCCTTGGCCTTGAGCAACTCTGCTGCTCCGATGGGCGTCAGAAATTGTCGACGCAGCCGCTCGAAGGCCTCCTGACGCTCCCGAGCGCTTGCTGCATGCGCCTTGAGGGCGCGCAGGTCCGAGTCGACGCTCGGCGTGCTCTTTGAGGCTCCCATGGCGGCAACGGGCAGCGCTCTGAGCCCACCCGACCCAGTCCCGACCCCATGCGCAAGCAAGCTAGACAGACGTCACAGAACGAGCCTCCTTTGGCAAAGACCTGAAAGATCATGGCGTGCCATCGCGTGACGTCCTCGCGGTACCTCCGCGGGGCGGCAGGAAGCCGCGGCGCTGCCGCGGCGCGCTCTTTTCCCTGTTTCGGGCCTCTCCCAAGTCTCCAGCAGCCGCTCCCAGGAGCCGCGCAAGCCCTTGGCCGGGCCTCGGCTCTGGGGGGCAGCGGCCAGCACCATTCCCCGCCCTACGAAGTCCCTCCTCCTTTTTTTTGGGGTTTTTTTCAAAGTGAGAGAGAGATGCCGAAGTTACCGAAGGCCAAGCGGCCCCAGGATTCGCGGCTGGCTAGGGCCGAGCTGCACAGCAGCTCCAAAGCGGTGAGGCCTTTGCCGTTGTTGCGTGGCAACAGCACAGTCATGAAGCGTGAATAGTATGTGAAGAGTGTATGTAAAGGCCCCGTGCCGAGGCCCACGACGTCCAGCTTGGTTTTGTACTGCGAGCAGAGCTCCCTCTTGGCCGATGTCTCCTGCGGCAGGCGGGTGAACGACTCATGAAATCACGACACTGCACCACACTCCTCGGGACCACAGAAACTCATGACCTGAGCGTGCCAAGTCAGAGACCGTAAAGCCGCAGAAATCCGAACTGAGGCCCGGAGCAAAGGAGCTGGTCGCCCAGTAACGGCAGTCGCCCGCCACATCGGAGTGTGGCCAGCGCTGCGGCCTACGCTCATCGCCACACATCGCCACTGGCCAAAGCTCCCCAAAGCAGATGCGAGACTTCTCGGACAGCGGCCAGGTCGCCGCATCCACGGCCAGGCCGAAATCCAGGAGCCAGAACCGAGCCTGAGGACCACAAGAATGGACTTTGGCGGCGAACAGGGACTGGTTTCTTGCAGCCTTCGCAGCCTGCAAATTGCATGACAGCGCTGCCTCCCTTCCAGTCAGGTTCTTATGAGTGCTGCTGAATCTGAACAAACTGATGTTTCACTGACTCGTCATTCGAGACCTCGTCTAGTCGTGGCACCTTCCACTACTCTGGATGCTTCTCCCGAAGTCACCCAAGAAACCTGAAAGGTTCTCGGAAGCTCGGTCGACTTTTGTTAGCAAATTTGAACGAAGGGCCCAAGGTTGGGTGGTATCCAAAAGGCTCTGCGGCTGCATCCGCCATAGGCACTCACTACCAGCAGCTGCTCAGCAGCCCCGATAATCATGCTTGCATATGCTTGCGCGCGCCCGTCCCCCCAGCAAGGGGTATTCTTGAGAGATTTTGAGAGAGAGGCTCTCGGCCTCAGGGTGCCAGCGACGCTTCCCTGGCAGGCTCCCAAGCCCGCGGCCCGCTTGGATGTCTCCTGCATCGGGAAGCCCACGGGGCCCACGGTGAACTCCTTACGGCCCGCCCTGGCTCTGCCTCAACGTCGCTGCAGGGCATCAAGCGACCGCCGTCCAGGGCATCGCTCAAGAGCACGTTGTGCTGGCACGTTGTTGCGCGAGTGAATCAAGCAGACTGGGAACCAAATTCTGCATGAGAGCCACAACTCAAGCTACACACCTGTTACGGACTACGGAGCAGTCTGAGCACCCTGCCGAGTTTACATCCCGGTGCCATGCATGCGGTGCGAGCCGTTCAAGGGTGGGTCCCAGCTGCCTGTGCTGCGAGCTCTGGTTGAAAGCAAAGCAAATGGCGCCAAAGGCATGCACCCATCCCTGGCACGCGATTGCTTGATGTGGTTGCTTCATCCGTTACAGATACACTGCTGTTGAAATGACTGACAGAACGAGAAAGGATTGTCAATGATTGTCGGGTACCAGCCGAACTAAGCACCACTCTAGCCACCTTTCGATCTACCAAGATCTGCGAAAACAGGACCGGAGGCTCGAAGATCGACTAGAATGATGTGTGCTCTGGCTACGAACTCACTACGGCCGAAAGACCTGCAAATCCAACAAACGCAAGCGAACAAATTATCTGCCCCTGCCCCGACATCCATTCGTGAGGTGCAAATCTCTCCAGAAAGGGCGCCTGATCAATGCCATTGCGAGCGCCTCGAAGACTCCCAGAAAGCCATCAGAGCTTTCTGCGGAAAACTGCGGACTCCACATCCGGGCGGCAGACGCAGCCACGGCGCACGGCACTGGGGCCGTCCTTGGTCGGCACTTCGTTGAGACAGGGCTTGCTTGCAGGGCGCATGGAGGACAGGGAAGCACGCTCCCCACTCCTCTGCGCAACAGCTCTCTCTCTCTCTCGCTCTCGCTCTCTCTCTGCTCTCCTCTGCCTGGTTCGGCGGCGGCGCACGCCGCAGCCAGGCGTCCAAGCACTCGCCAGGGAGCCGGGCCATGGCCTCGGGGCCCCCCGGCCGACACAACCGAAGGCGCCATTTTTGTATCGGAGAAAGCATATGCCATCATTTGCCATCCTCTGCCTATGCCGCTTCAGCAAAATTAACAATCGTAATCCATCTTACCACGGCATGACACCTGGTTGCATCACGATTTCGTTTAGACTCTTGGTGCTCCACCAGGCAAACTCGCCAGCCGTCCTCCTTCTGATCCACCTGCAAACAGCAACGAGGCGCGTTTGCAGAAAGAAGCTGGCGTCTGCCGTCTGCCCACAGCTCCAAGCCTTGTGGCCGAAGTAGCGCGGAATGCGCATCGGGGCCTGCAACGCCAGCTCAGGCTTCATCCTTGCACACGCTGCTAGGACCTGCTGGGATCTTGCGGCCTCTCGTCCGTCGCTGGCCGCCTCCTTGAAGCGCTCGAGCAAGCTCACCTTCGCAGTCACCACCAAACCCTTCAGGGCATTTCCGGTATCCTTCCTCGCCTCGAAAAGGGCCTGCTCCAAATCTGCCTAGCTCAGGGCGTGAGCGCCAGGTCCGAAGAGATTTTGGTTGGGTCTACGCCAGGTTCTTAAAGACCACAATGGCACGAAACCCCAAAATGCACACTGCACCGCGGAGAGAGGCGAGTTTACTTCCTTCGAGCTTTTTGAAACCGAAATGTGTGCAGAAAAGGCAGAACTGGTGAGAGCAAGATTTCCACCCCGAGATGCACACGGGACTGTGCCGAGAGCACGATTTGCCAGTGAACAACACCTCTTCACAGGAAAGGTAAGAGCCCCTGCAGCAACGAGGGAATGAAGGAAGAAGTCGCTCCGCGGACATTTGCAAGTACGCACCATGGAAAATTTTGCCCTCTTTACCAGTCTGGGATGTCTTCTGCGCATCTCCGCCTTCGTCTTGCAGAATATGTCCTCGGAAGCATCTGCTAATTTCGCTGCACAGTGCTTAAGATTTGTTGTAGCTGTCTGGAATCCTCAGGACCGAGCTTTCAGCGCCACCGCCCCCCCATGGTCCGCAGTGGCACTTACTACCTCTCCGGACCAAACCTCAATGCAGGGCTCAACAAAAACAGAGTATTCTCGAGCTGCAGCTCAGGAGGCCTCGCTGAAGGACCCACGCCCCAGAACAGACCGGCAGCGATAGCGCGTGCCGCCGACGGACAACTGCCAACAAGGAAAACAGCTTCCTGGCTTCCTCAAACCTTCTAAATCTTACCTACGTGAGTCTGGATCGGTGCATGCGCAGCGGCCGTCCGGTTTTTGCCACGGACCCGTTCGCCCGGCAGGGATCCGATTCGCACGCGAGCTGGGAGCGGCCCTTCGAGGCTTCGAGGATCTTCGAGGGCTGCGGCTGGGGCCGTCTACTACATCTCCACGCTCCTAAGGTCCCAAGGGCAAAAAAAGGCTCAAAGGATCCTTCACGAGCCAGTAACCTCCACGAAGTTGATTAACACCCATGATAACCCATGTTCGCTCCGATTTTCCTTGACCCTCAAAGGGGCCTCAATGCCCGCTGCGCACTTCGGCAGTTCTGAGTCTTCCTGCTTTCACGAATCACAGTCAGGCCGTACGGTGGCAGGAGATGGGCATGACTTCGGTCCTTGTGTGGTTCAGGCTCAAAAGGCTCGAATCGAGCAGTTGGCGGAGGCGGAGGCGGCCTGCAGATGCGAGCTTCTAAGTCTAAGCCGCCGAGCACATCGCATTTCGCAGCTCCCTGTGCTGCCAGGCGACGAAGGATGCGAAGCAGACGAGAGAGACGGGTCGCAATGTGCCACCTCCATGTCTTGTCAGCCAGCTCTGATGGTGAGGATGCAAGTGGTGACGCTGGTTTGAGGCCGGGACTGCGTACAAACCTCTTCGAGGAGACCTTGGCACGACACCGAATCTCCCTTGTCTACTGATATATCTTAGAGACTACCAGCAGAATGCAGCTAGGTGCAGCACACGCTTGACGCACTTGGCTGTACCTCCCACTGTGCGACTGGCGCTGGGCTGGGAAAGTCTGCCACAAGTGGGCCATTCAAGACTGAGATCGGCCGAGCGAGCGCAGCACACAATGCCAGTGGTGTGAAATCATGCACAGGATTTCAGGGGCTGTCGTTCGTCTCACTTACAAGTGGCCGCTTCCGAGCCTGTGTGGGTGGAGAACTGGCGCCTGAGGGTGAGTCTGCAAGTGTAGCAGTCTGTGCCGGCTCCCAAGAGCATCGAATCTCTGGCGCAGACAGCGTGGGCTGGGGCCGGTGGGCAACGCCACAGCAAACCTCGCACAATTCCCAGGAAGTAGAGCCGTAGAGCCCTTGCAGAGTCTCACTACATGCGCGGTCCCGCAATTCCTGAGTGGCACACGGGGAGCACGGCCTATTGACCATTTGCGGCAGAACGCAAATCTGCGCCCGCGGTGTTTGCTGCCTCGAGCCCAATCAATAGAAATCATGCTGCATGGCTGGACCACCAGAAAGCTGCATGGAAGAAGCTTGGGTAGTTGCACAGGCCAGGGCACCAGCGGATCCGGCGTATAGGACCTGCACATCTACTTCTCGACACATGACTAACTACGTCACGAAGGCCAACCGGTTTTTCTGAAGTCACTGGCGGTGCAGCCTGACTCTGAGAGATCTGGTGCTCTCCAGGGGTCTGCTTCGGATAAGCGCAACGATGAAATGAGGACCACTCCGAGTAAATGTGAATACAGATCCGCGTACGATCACGTAATTCGCAGGCGCGCCCCGATGCAGCCACTGCACACATGAAACGGAGGGCCCCTCCATCGTGACCGCATCAGGATCCAGTCTGGATCGACAGGCTAGCAGGCTCACGGCTAGGAGCTGCACGGTAGGCCTGTGTTTCCCAGCATGCAAGCGGAGTGACCAAAAGTGCAACTTTTCCTCACCCCAACCAACATACTAATGAAGCTGGAAACGCACCGTGCTACGCACACGGTTCTACTGGCTCCTTACCACGTTCTCGCAAGACTTAAGCATGCATGCAGGAGAAACATGATTTGCTGATGATGATCATGATGATGATGACGATCAGGAGGATGAGGAAGATGACCAGGATGAGGATGAGGATGAAAATGCGGATGGTGATGAGGATGGTGTCGATAGCGACAGTCATGGTGCTGGTGCTGGCGGCTGATGCTGGCGGCTGATCGGTGAAGCTGATGGTGAAACGAGGGAGTGGGAACACGACATGGACGGCGACTGCGACGACAACGACGACGAC